GCGAAAGGGCCGCTTGCTTATTATTATCTATAATATATAGATATCTATATATCTATAAACCATAAATATAATATAAGAAAATAATTTTTATTTCTTGTTTATCCAATTGTTCATTCCTGGGAAGAGGAAGAAGCGAAGAAAAAATCAGCAAAAGTGAACTATAAGTTGCCCCAAAGCCTAAAGGCTACACTACTGAACTGGCGGAGACCCCCTCGCCATACCGGCAGCTCGCCACATATAGGCAGCTCCCAAAGCCTAAGGAGTTGGATCAGCACTTACTAGCTCGTCGACTTACGGGCCAAAAGAAATCTACTCCCTTCGCTTAGTTACTCTCAGCTCGGGAGTGGGGGGCAAATGATGAGGGCAGACTTGGCCCTCTAGTGAAATTGTGACACATGGCACCTCGTGACAACTAGGCAACACCCAGGTAACAACTTACCATGTCGGTGTCCCGCCGGGGCACCGACCTGGCCGACCTGGATCATCCCGGCACATGATCCGACCTGGCCGACCTGACAACCCATAAGACGCCCACCGATGAACCATAACGGCATACCCCGCGAGCTCGGTAGCTCACCAAGGAGCTCGCTAAGGAGCTCGGTAGCTCACCAAGGAGCTCGCTAAGGAGCTCGGTAGCTCACCAAAGAGCTCGCCAAGGAGCTAGGCAGCTCTCCAAGGAGCTCGCCACCAAGGAGCCAGGCAGCTCGACAAAGCTCGCCACAAGCAGCTCGGCATAGCCCAAGGAGCTCGACATAGCTCCCCTGGGCAGCTCGCCACTTGTAGGGTAGCTCAGTACAGAAGAGTAGTTTGGCGTATCACAGGAAGATCTCTTACCTGACAATCTAGCCTAGACACCGACCCGCCGACTGACACAGGCGCCGACCTGACAACCTGGCCCAGACACCGACACACTGACTGACACAGGCACCGACTTGACAACCTGGCCCAGACACCGACCCGCCGACTAACACAGGCGCCGACCTAACAACCTGGCCCAGGCGCCGACCTGGCCGCCTGACACAAGCGCCAGCCTGACAACCTCGAGGAGTTTACCACCGTACCCCGGTTCTGACGGGATATGACGAGTCTTACCGTTTGAAGGGTTTTCACCAACCTAACCCGCGAGGACACCACTATATAAGGACTCCGACCCCCAAAGTCAGGAGGAGGGGAAAAAAGGATGGTAACCCCTACTCTCTAATGGTACGTGACCAAAATGGTACGTGACCAAAAACGGTTACATCAATTCCTGTGAAAAATTTGATAGGGGGATTTACACTCTATAAAAGTCAAGTGTTGGGAAAAGGTTTGTTGGATTTCATCATAAGTTTGAAAATAAAAAGTGGCAGAGCTTTTGAAACCCTAATTTGGCATCGCTACCTCCATGAAAACCTGGATTGTTTCTTCACACTTGAGCTAGCCAACGGATGGTGCTGAAGGGGGTAACATAATAGGGTTTCCACCATTCAACCCAATGAGCAAACTAAGAATAGGCGGTCTGAGAACGATGCAGATAGGGGGGAAGAGAGGAAGAAGAAGGAGAAGAAAAGAGAGACTAGAGCCAGAGGGTTTGCAACGGTATGTGGAGGGCAAATTTGACATTTTTAAATTCTTTCTGTTAGTATTTAACATAATGTCAATTGTCAAAAATAGTAGGGGTACTTTAAGACAATATGTAAAAAGTAAGGGTAGAATTAGTCAATTAGCTAAACCATATAGGTAGTTTAAGAAATTTTAAAAGGACTTATTTTTTAAGTCTAAATTTCCAGTTTTTATAAATGCTCATATAATAAGCACTTATTCAATTTTTTCTCCTATAATTGTCCCCAATGAATTTTTAGAATACCAATTATACTCTTTTACAAAAACAATTTTACAAAGGAACTTTTAGAAAAGTAATTTTATTTTTACGAAAGCACTTCTATAAAAGTACTTTTATAAAAGCACTTTTACGAAAGTACTTTAAAAAATACTTTTATAAAAGTACTTCCTTCTATGGAAGTACTTTTATGGAAATATTTTTATAAAAGCTCTTTTGTGGAAGTGATTTTATAAAAGCACTTTTATAAAAGTATTTTACGAATGTACTTTTATGAAAGCACTTTTGTAAAAGTACTTTTACAAAAGCACTTCTATCAAACTACTTTTTATTCATTCACTTTAGATTGGATATTTTAAAAATTTGAAAGAAAATTAAGGACAAAAGTGTCATAATTGCTTATTTAAGTACTTATTGGAGAAAAAGACCACCAGTACTTATTTTTAACATAAACATCCCAAACATAGCTTTAAGTTTTTCAATAACTTTACCAAAAAGTTGATTTTAATTCATTCGATCCGGTGGTTGTTCTTGAACCTGAATGACTGATTCACATGAGCTAGTGAAGTTTAACCTAACTGACTGGCATGAGCTAACGGAGTTTAGGTGTACAATTTAGACGGCCCGAACCTGAGCTGAAGTCAATTCAGCCTGTAATTTTATATGAATTGGGTCTGGATTTTTTATCATCAAAATGAGTTAGGCCAAAAGGTCTGAGTTTTTTAACTTTTCGATTTAACCCTATTTCAATCTGAACTGAACTCGATTATATATAGTATATTTTTTATACTATATACATTCATATAATTTTTTAATATAAATTTATTGACCAACCCAATACCAACTTGGACCACAGACCAACCAAGTGTAACAAATGTGAGTATGAACTGGACCTGGATGGGATAATTTGAACTTAGCCTCGGACTCGATCCGAATTCGAACCTTTGGCCAATTCTTAGGATTGGGCATGAGTCCGAATTCGAACCTGGGGTGGACTTGAACTGGGCAGATTGGGCTTGGTTTAGGGCTTGAACATAGGGATAGGGGTATTATTCTAATAAATCCGTAAACCTTAATTGTAATTTGTAATAACGAATAACGATAATAAGTTGGACTGCAAGCAGCAACGGTAACACTTCAATCGTAGCCCGGCATATGCTTTATGGATAACATCATTTCACATTTGCATGACGTCAGGTGGTTTTTAGTAAGAAAGACACTCTCAAATGGGCAACCTCAGATGAATCGTCACCGTTGGATTGATAAGTTTATCTACTTTCCTTTTTAGTAGAAGACCAACGGTATTGTTAGTGGTGGGCGTTCGGATCTGGCTGACTACAAGCCCTCAACACATTGCTGGCCTGGCCATATGAACACAGCCGCACATCGGACTCCCTGATGAGAGATATTCCGGATGTGCGGTTACGTCAAGGTGATTACAATATGTTATGATCATCGGATCCGAACTCGCTCGCTGCACGCTATGATTGCGGGATTTGATTCCGCGTCAACGCTGGAACAAATCAGTCAATACGAGTTCGGATTTTCTGTTCACACAAATTCTGTTTACGTTTATCGCAGTCATATATGAAGAATATCTCAACCTTGGAAAAAATGTTCTCAATTCACGGGATAGTATATTGTGGGTAGTCGTGGACAGAATTCTCGTGGGCAGGAGATCCGGAGTCAGCTAATACACCAACGACCCAGCCCTCCGTTGGTCATCTGGACGAGCTTTCGAGTTTCAATGGATTGGAATTTTGGAAATAGAGCAAGTTGTGAAAGCGAGGCGACGTGGAGATTTTAGTAATTTTATGGGAGTGAAAGATTCTGAATTGCATGCGGAAGGTCAGTGCAGGACTAAAATGCAAAAGGCGCCTAGTGGCGCAGTTTACGGTGCTGTCCTCACGCCGCATTTATTTTTTTTATCAAAATTTTTATTATTTTATTTGCACCAGAAATTATATATAAATATACTATTTTATTTTAAAGAGATAAAATAAAACACAGGTTTAGTGGGAAAAGGGAGGTTGGAAGAGTTCGCTGTGTCTTCAAGTGTCGTGCATGCATTTTATGCATCCATTTTGCGTTTGCATGCACACGCTTTCCTTGCCTCCCTGGACTTGCCCGCCGTCGCGACCTTGGTGGCTGGAAGTTGAGACTTTGTTGATCTGAGGAGCTCTCCTTTTGGATTCTTGCTGAATTTCTGCAAAAGGTAGAGAGTCTGTAGACTAGATGAGAAGAGGAAGAAAAGGGAGGAGAAAGCATGGTTTTGTTTGCAGAGTTGTCAGGTGAAATCCACAACGATGTTAGGGTTTTGATTAAGGGATAGAGACGAAAGGTTAGTCCTTTTTGCTTATCCGTTAATTTTTTTTTGTTGTCTTGGTAGTATCGATCTATGGGATGGATTTCGTTCATTGATTGTTTTCGATCATTTCACTTGCCGCGATTATTTTTCGTTGTTTGATGAAAGAGGCATCTTTATTGGCTTGTTTATTTCCTCACGGGAGGACTTCAGGTTAGAGGGGGGATTGATTAGGTGAATGGCGTCGAAGATTTGCATGAATGCCTCATGCGGCGCGACATCGTCGATCGAATGGAGAAAAGGGTGGGGTCTACGATCTGGCGGATTTGCTAATCTCTGCGACAAGTGCGGGTAAAATTTTCCTCTGGGGCCTTTCCTCTTTATCAGAAATTGAAATTCGTTGTATTTGCGTACTGTTTCCTGATTACTACCTTAATTTGTTATGCATCCAGTTTAGGGGTGTGGAATTTGGTCCAAGTTCACTATAGCTTTCTTTGTTTTATTTTCTCTATTCTCATGTTTAGGTCGCTTATGGGTTTGTTAGATTGGTGACTTGTACATGTTATTTCTTTGCTAGTGCGATTTATGCGTGCTATTTTTTCTTTAATTTGGTACGTGGGGTTCTGTTGTTGCTGCATTAGTATTTTTGTTGACTTGGTTACGCGATAATTTGGGGGCGTTGTTGTTCTGTTGCTGAGATACTTTAATTCGTATTTATAGGACCTCCCGTTTTTGGTTTTTCTCTTATAATGCATTTTGGTCATCTTTTCACATTAACGGGCTCATTATAGAGGTTAACTCATACCATGGGTCTCGTTGCATGTTAGATTAGTCAACAACAATAACAATAACAGCAAGTAGCAGTGGCGGTAGCAACAACGAATACTTAATTGGTGAACAACAATTACTAATTATATCATATGAATTTTTACTAATCTAAAAAAAAATATATCATGTATGTTTTCTAATTTGTATATTTTGAAATGCTTTGGTTCTTATTCATATCTTTTCATTTCTACATCATTTTGATCAATTTAGTGAAGTTACTCATTATTTAACTTCCATCCATTTAGAATTATATATACAAGCTGAGAGGACTGCATAAACTACTTTGGTATTTATTTGTCCATCATGTATTTCTTGGAAATTTGTCTCAAGCTATCCACCATCAAACATGGACTGAAGGGTTGGAAAGCCAAAATCTGAAGATAATCAAGATGGAAAAAATAATAGACATTAGAAGCTAATTTTCTATTCAATTTAAAAAGCGAAATCTATCTGCAACGTTGTTGTCACACTTAGATTGGACCCAGTGGTTTAACCGTTAAACCAGAGCCCCAGTGATCTTTCTAGATCTTAGCTTTTCATTTAGTGGTTTTTCCACTGAACAATTTAACCAACAATTAAACTGGTAAAACCATAACCAATTGAGCTTTCTGGTTTTTTGAGTCTTGACAACATTGCTATACAGAATTTAATAGAATAGTTAATTATTCTTCCATTAAACAATATGGGCAAATTTGTCATCAAGAAATTAGGACCCAATTAATTGCCTTGTGCCCCTAATCCATGCACAAGGCATGTAGAACAGTGGAAGGCCTTATGACCATTCAAAGTCGATCCAGTAATTATAATTATCCATTAAAAGAAGGTTAATGAAGCCTACAAGAAAAAAATGTAAAAGAAGAAGGTGAAAAAGGGTGGAATAGAAAATCTGAAGGGACAGGAGATATTCTTTTTTAACTTATATGGGTTATAAATCAGTTTTTTTTTTTAAGAATTAATGCCAAAGTTCTACCTATCCTATTTGTTTTTTTTCTTAATTTGGCATTTACAATATTGGCTCAGGTCTGCTTATGATCAATTAGTTTTCTGTGATACATTTCATTTGAACGAATCTGGTTGGAGGGAGTGCAGTTCATGTGGCAAGGTAAAAATTGCTGTGTGCTTGTGAAAGCATAATGTGTTCAACTCATTTATGTCCTCAAATTCTCATTGAAATTTCTGATGACAGCGTCTGCATTGTGGCTGTATTGCTTCAAAGCCTGCACTTGAGCTACTTGACAATGGTGGTGTAGCATGTATTGGCTGTTTAAAGAGCTCAGAGTTTTCCTCTGTAAGTAACATGTCTTGACATTTGAATCTGGTATTACATAATTGTTATAGGTTCTCTCTCCTGATCATGTTGAAAAAGGGATTTTTTTTCTTGACCCTATACTTATTAAAAACTTGTTATCTTTATTACTATATCAAGTAAAGCAACTTTCCTACCTTTTTTTTATGAATGATTATGATTTATTAAATCAGAAATATGAGACAATACAGTAGACCCAAGAGGAGGCACGAGTTGTTACCTCTTCTAACAAGTATTACATCAAATTAAAAACAGAATTGACCAGAATTAACCAGAACTTGCATTACAAAGCAACCCAAAATAAATGTTCCCTTGAAGCCCCTTGCTTAGCTAATCCATCAACTAAGGAATTTGCTGATCTTCCCACCCAAAGAAAGGTAACAGTCATGTTTCTTGTGATCTAGTTGACTATCCTTAATGTATCTCTATGTTGCCACATAGCTGAAGCTGGTTCTTTGAGCCATCCCACAACAATCTCAGAGTCCCCTTCAATTACCAAGTGCTGAATTCCTAATTGTTCTGCAATTTGAATACCTTGCACCGTCACTAATATCTCAGCTCTATTGGAGTCTCCTATTCCCACGGGGCCTGAAAACAATGCTAATATTTTGCTTTCATTATCTCTCAGCACCCCTCCTATCCCTGATGGGCCTGGGTTTCCTTGGCTACTTCCATCAAAATTCAGTTTTACCCATCCTTCAGGTGGAAGCATCCACACTACAGATTTCATGTCCTTCCTTTCATGGCTGTTAGCCACCACTATCCAATTTCTCCAAAAATCATCAAAGGAGAATGTATGAAATAAGTCCATAGTTCTTAACCAATGGATGGCCCTAGTTAAGATACGTTCCTCAACAGCTTGAGAGCTTCTTTCCTCCTCCTTAAAAACCCTTGCATTCCTTTCTTCCCAGATTGTCCACAAGGAGGCTGCTCTAATACATCGCCACATTATTTTTCCTCTTTTTGTAGACCACACAAAAAAGGAGGGATCGAACAACTGGCTTAAATTTGTGGTCAGATTCCACCTACACCCAAACTAAGAGAAAATCCAACTCCAAATAGCACTAGAAAAGGAGCAAGACACAAGTGAGAGCAATTCCCACCACTAGCCCTGCAAAGTACACACCAATTAGGGGACAAACACAAAGAAGGCCTTTTCCTCTGCAAGCAGTCCAGGGTATTAATCTTTCTATAAAACACCTCCCAGTAGAAAATAATAACTTTAGGTGGAACCAGTTTAGGCCAAATCTCCTTCGTTGGAAAGCCCCACTGTCCCTGGGAAGAGCAAAGGGATTTAAAAAGGAAGCACAGGTGAAGTAACCTTTTGGGTGAGGGGACCATAATCTCACATCCAAACTTAGGGGGTCCAAAAAGACACGACCAAGAAGGAACAACAGATCTGAAACATTGTTAAGTTCATCATCCCTCAAGCATCTCCGAAAGCCAAGGTCCCAACTTAAAGAGGGGGGTGAAACAGGAGAAGGGAGAAAATGAGAGACAGTTTTTTTGCTTGTAAAGGGAAATAAAATAGAGATACGGAAACTGGTCCTTAAGGGCAACATTACCCACCCAAATGTCTTCCCAAAATAAAACAGAGGTACCAGAATTGACATCTTCCCAAAATAAATTCACACTTGACTGTTTTGTCCATTTGTTACCCTTATTGAATAAAAATTTAGGACTAGAAAATTGAGGAAAATTTCATAATCCTGAAAAAACTAATAAAAATATTAAGGAAATTACTCAGAAAGTAAATCTGAACAACTACAAGAAGGCTACCCATGTTCCCACTTTTCACTCACCTGCATCTCTCTTTCAGTTCACCCCTCACAAATTCATGTATGTGGACTCTGTTGCCTGCACCACCTACTAGTTCTTTTAAGATAAAAGAATATTGAATTCAAGTAGGAGTTATAGTAATCTATCTTAATCTTCATGATTTTTTTATGCTTCACCTGAACATGTGTTTACCCTATGTAAGTATTTTGTAACAACATATGAAATCTTGTTTTATGATCTACAATTACAGTAATGATTGCTTAAGTACCCTGGGCATGGTGCCATGTGTTAAGGTGTTTTTTTATTTTTATTTTTTGTTTTTTGGGATTGGTAGCAAATAAGAAACTTTATTGATACTGGGGAAAAATGAGAGAAATAAGTAATGCAGGAGAAAGAAAGAAACTATATCAAACCTTAACAAGTAAAAAGAATTGGACCCAATGTGCCACTCCACGCCAATCTTGATACCAGTTAGCTCTTGCTACCCTTCCTTTTGCTAGTTCATTCATCAGTAAAGGAATTAGATAAATTTTCTACTCATCTGAATCAGATGCTTATTTGGGTAATTACATATCTAGCTTCCTGAATTTAGTGCAGCAACTGCCAAGATCATGGGTTATTTGTCCCTRACCAATTACCTTCTAGTGTCATGCTTATGCATATCTCCTGCAGTATAGATAATCATTCAGCCTTGATAGTGTCCACTATGTCTATTGGACCTGAATTGATTGTCAAAAGACTCAAAACATCTCTATGGAGATTCCTAAAGGAACCACCTACTCATAAAATTCCTAGGTTATCCAATCTACATCCATCAAAGTTCAATTTGATTAAGTTTAAGGTGGTGGTTCCCACTCTTGCTGAGATGGAAACCTTCTGATGGCAGATGATGTGAGATGTTGCCACTTGCCACTCATTCATGATGTCATTGATTCTGAAAGGCTGAATAACCCAACTTTCCACTCAATTCAAATAAACTCAATCAAGGCTTCTGGTGTTTGGTCCTTGCTATGGAAGATTCTCACATTCCATTCTTCCTATGCTATCCACAGGATGGCTGCCGTCACACATCTCCAAGGTATTTTGCCCCTCTTTTTTTGGAAAGGAGAAAGTCATCAACATCTTGCAAAGCCACCAATAAAATTGAACAAAGAAAAGAAAAGCTCCAAAGTTAAACATACATAAGAGTGGGAGATTAGCAACTTGACTTCTTTTCTGAAGGACCTTACTAATTTTGGTTTTCAGGTGAATCACCTCACAACAAGAGCCCTTACTTTCAATGGTCCTATAGGACCATACCAATTTGCTTTCACTGTGAACACCTTACGGGGATTAGAGGGAAGGAGATCCCTAAAGAAAGATGCACAAGAAAATAGACCCTACAGCTTAAAAGTTCAGACTCTAGGATCAGACTTTAAAATTCAAAAACACCCCATCCAAGGACTCAATAATAGAGAGACAATCATCTAGTCTTTTGGTCCTTCAGGCCTATCCTAAAGCTGAAGTCCCAAGGCAAACCAAAAGGTGAATCAAAGATAAAAGAAGCAACTAGGAAGTTTTTATATAATCAAATCAAAATGAGTCTGGGAAATCTAGATGATAGTGGAAAGTTTCCCACCAAACATTTCCAACCTTACTTTATCTTTTCCCATGGCATCACAATCAAAAATTTTTGTTTTTTTGATAAATAACATCAATTCCATTAAAATAATGAATAGATACAAGAAGATCCCCTTAGAGGCGCGAGGAGCAGCCTCTCCAAACAGCAAATACACAAACTACAACATAGATAACATGAATGTTGAAATTAAAACAATAGTTACGATTGTGCCCAGAACAATGTTTCCCTATTTATCCCTTGTTTTGCCAAGACATCAGCAAAAGCATTAGCTGATCTCCCAACCCATTGTACTGTTATAGACATATTTCTTGTCAGCCATTTGAATTTCTTTAACTCATTTTTGTAGTCCACCACTATCTTAGAGTCTCCTTCAATCAGAAGCTGCTCCACGCCCACTTCTTTTGCAAGAAATATTCCTTGTATTGCAGCTAACAGTTCTGCCCGGATAGAGTTCTCAACTCCTAAAGGGCCAAAGTAGATTAAGACAAACTCTCCAGCCTCATTCCTCAGTACACCTCCCATCCCAGAGGGACCCGGGTTACCTTGGCTACTCCCATCAAAATTCAGCTTCAAAGAACCAAGAGTTAGGGGGACCCAACTAGTCACTGCCCTTCCCTTGTAGGAGGAACAACTTGCTACCAACTTCCAATCCTTCCAAATCAGTAAAAGTAAAATGGTTAAATAATTCTAGAGTCTTTAACAATGCAATGACCTGGACAAAATGCAGTCCTTTAAGGTTTGATTGCTTCTTCCTTTTTCTTGGAAGATTTTGGCATTCCTTTCTTCCCATATTGTCCATAACAATGCTACTCGCGAGCATCTCCAGATTTTCCTTCCTCTTTTATGGGGCCAAGAGAAGAAATAAGGGTTAAAGATTGTGCTTATTTCTACTGGCATATCCCAACTAGACCCAAACAAAGATAGAAGCCAAGTCCAGAGCTCTGCAGTGACACTACAAGATAAAAATAGATGATTACAATCCTCACCATGAGATCTGCAAAGAATGCACCAGTTTGGTGAAATASAAAGGWCGRGTCTTCTCTTTTGTAGGTTGTCCATCGTGTTTACTTTACCATGCCACACTTCCCAGCACAAAGCCATAACCTTGGGGGGGACCGGCCTACACCAGACTTCTTTGGAAGGGAAACTCATGAGAGGGAGATTGGCAGAGGAACTTGAAAAAGGAGCCACAAGAAAAAGACCCTTTGGGGTGAATGGCCCAAATCCTTTTATCAGGTTTCGAGGGATCCAACCAAACCTTATCAAGGAGACACAAAAGAGTAGACAAACACTCAATTTCCTCATCCCTTAATCCTCTACGGAAACCAAAATCTCAAGACAAAGCTGGTAAGAATAAATTCGACGGAAGGAATTTTGAGATCACCTCATTTTTATACCAGGAAACAGAGTACAATGAAGGAAAAAGGTCTTTCAAGGGGAGATCTCCAACCCAAATGTCCTCCAAAAACCGAATAGAATTACCTGAACAAGCATCATACCTAACACAGCTAAGGAACTGCGAAAGAATTTTGTGAATTGCTTTCCAAGGTGTGGCTAGGTTAGCCCTCCTTGATGCACCAGCATCCCAACCACTCTATGAACATCCATGAATACTCTTCACTACTTCGTGCCAGAGTCTATCCCGCTCCAAAGGTCATCTCCACAACCACTTCCCAAACAGAGCTGAGTTCTTTTTATGCACATTCCCGAACCCTAATCCTCCCTCCTCTTTGCTTCTACCCACGATCCCCCCACTTAATTAAATGGTCTTTTTTACCTTCTCTCGGTTCCCACGGAAAATCTCTCATCAATTTTTCCAACTTCTTCGCTTCCCTAGACGGTATCCTAAAGATAGAGAGATAATAGGTAGGTAGATTCATGAGGGTAGCTTTTATCAAAGTGATCCTCCCACCCAAAGAGATGATTTTTCTTCCACACAGCTAGTCTCTTTTCAAATACAGTCCTGGTCCGAAACCTTCTTTGAAACCATATTATCCATCAAAGTTTTGTTGTAATGTTAAAATCTCATAAAATTTCAAGGTTTTTTTTTTAAATAATAGCAAATAAGAAGTATTTTGTTCTTTTAAGTTATATCACTTCTTTTAAAATCCCAAAGAGATAATCTTTCTAAGTCAGTTTTATTAATGTGGTGAAGCAATGAGTAGTTGGTTTAGCCTCTCTAGCCAATGTGATGACTGATCAATGAAAGAATATATGTTCTAAACTTAAGATATTGATGCAATCTCATAAATGTATTAAACAGAATGGAATGGCAAAGCAGGGTTCATGTAGCCATTCCTATATGTTTGGGATAAGGCTTAGATGATGATGATGATGATGCAGCAATCTCATAAATAAGGTAGTATAGACTACAATTATGTTAGGCTGGATAGGCGAGGAAATGGAATTGCAGCCTTTGTTTTCCAAAGAAAGAATGCAAATTCAATGTACCCTTTGTGGGAACTCCATGCCATCACACCACTGATTGGAAGAAAACTTCTTTTATTTTATGCTTTTTGTTCTGTTTTATATACCCTCATCCAGTCATGTTCCATCACAAATATTTAAAGAAACATTATGAATATAACAATTGCAAACATATTCTATATTATTTCAAATAATTGGAGATACAAACAAACAATTTGTAGTTGACTAATTGTTAATTGACTAGTCATCCTAGTTGATGCTTAGTTGTCCTAGGACCACATCATGAGTATTTGCCAACTAGTTACTGATGCAGTTGGTAAGGCCCTCAATTGTTGACTAGTTGATGCTTTAAAAGTGTTCTCCTGTCAAATCTTTTCTTTATGGATGATCAGGTCACCTGTGTGATATCCTAAATTTGAATGGAAAAAAAAAAAAATCAACCAGGGAAAATGAAGCCAAGCTGGTTAACATATTTCTCATATATAAGTTGAAGATATTATTCATTATGGTACCGTAACCTATGCATTTGGTTCTTGTTGTGCATATGTTGGATATATAATGGATTCTGTTTCTGATGGACATTTAAGTACTTTGGATCTCAAAGTTTGATATTTCTATCCCTGTTGAGAAACTCATGCAGATCCCTAGTGATGAAAAACCATACAAATTTGGGGATTCTCCAATGGATATCATTGGTGAACCTCGATCTACATCTGTGGACAATAAAATAGATGCTGAGGGTGTTGATAAGGTGAAGCTTATTTATTTTGGAAAAGGTGTGGAGGGAAATGGACTGAACAGCTTGCTTCAATCTCAGAAAGATGAAACAATTGAATCCCTTGGGCAAATAAAACGAGAGCAACTCATGCCTCCTCTTGGGGAAGTTGGAAGCTCGAGCTTTTCAAATTTAAATCTTGCATCTATTGGGTCCTCTCAAGTTGTCAAAGGAGATAATACTAAAGAAACCATAGGGGTTAAAGATGTCTATAGCTCACTCTCTCAGACATGCTTGAATATTACCCTGGGCGCACCTTCAGGTCCTTCAAACATTGCACTCCCTATTCCCAGTGCAGTTGTTGAAGGAAGGGAGCAAAGCAAAACACCATCTCCCTTTCAACAAGGGCCAAGATCCCGCCAACTTTTGCCAAAGCCCCCAAAAGCAAGTCTGAGTGGGAGTCTGGAGGCCAATAAGGACATGCTTCCACAGATACGTGTTGCAAGGCCACCTGCTGAGGGACGGGGGCGGAACCAGTTGCTTCCCCGTTATTGGCCAAGAATAACAGACCAAGAACTGCAACAGATATCTGGAGAGTATCCATAAATATGTTAACTTACTTTTTTTATTTCTAACAGTTTATTGTCTGAATTTACTCTGTTTTCTAAAATAATTCATCTTTGAATCCATCCACTATGATTCCCTTGACCATGCTATCTTAAGTTCAAATTCCACCATCGTGCCATTGTTCGAGAAGGTTCTGAGTGCCAGTGATGCAGGTAGAATTGGTCGTTTAGTTCTCCCAAAAGCATGTGCTGAGGTAAGATCCAAAAATGTCTTTATTGCTTGTTTTCTGCCATGAACTCCATACCCAAAATTACCTTCTGTGTTGAGAAGAACTTGTTTAACATTAAACTGTATGCAGGCATATTTCCCCCCTATCTCTCAGCCAGAAGGCCTTCCATTAAAGATTCAGGATGCTAAAGGGAAAGACTGGGTGTTTCAGTTCAGATTTTGGCCTAATAACAACAGTAGGATGTATGTCTTAGAGGGTGTAACCCCTTGCATCCAGTCTATGAAATTACAAGCTGGTGATACTGGTAATTTGCATTCTTTATTTGGATAGTGAGATCTGATTTCTGTTTAGGAAATAGGTAAATTAATTTTCAGTGCTGGTTTACACGTGCTTGGTTTGTAAACATGGCTCTTGATAGAGCGCAGTGGTGGGACAGGATTCATATAATAGCCGAACCTAAATGATTAGGATTATGGCTGAGATAAGTGCAACTGAGTGTGGTGTAATTATGCTTGATTTGTGATTATAATTCCTTTTTATTAATGAGAAAAAGATATGCCCTAAATTAAATCCTCAATTTTCAGTTTGATATGAAACCTTTTTGTAGAAGTTGGGACATGCTTATACTAGAATCCTTCTTTCTTTCTGATATGAATCCCACTTCTTGCAGTAACATTCAGCCGGATAGATCCTGAAGGAAAACTTGTGATGGGATTTCGAAAGGCAGCAAATTCTGCCCCCATGCAGGTAGGAAGCTTAGATTTTTATGGGCATCTTTACTGCTAACAGTATCTGACGTGAACCACTTACGAGTTAGGAACCACGGTCAAGTTTCATGCTGGCACTCTATGTTCAATTAATCCACAATTATTAATTAAACAGGATACTCAAATATCTGCCCTTGCTAATGGTGCACTTGCCAACGAAACTTTCTTTTCGGGTGTTATTGAGAACCTACCTATAATAAGTGGTTACTCTGGCCTTCTTCAGTCACTGAAGGGAAGAACAGTTCCTCACTTGAATGCTCTGTCGGAACACTTAAGTTCAGCTGATGGGGACATTAACTGGCATAAAACCGAGAAGCACGGGAGTAGGACAAATGAGGGTCCAGCGTTGCAACCCATGAAAAGGAGTCGAAACATTGGATCCAAAAGTAAGAGGTTACTTATAGATAGTGAAGATGCTCTGGAACTGAAGCTTACTTGGGAAGAGGCACAAGATTTGCTCCGTCCACCCCCAAGTGTCAAACCTAGCATCGTTATGATAGAGGACCATGTATTTGAAGAATATGAAGTAAGTAAAATTTTGAATTTTGTGGATTACTATGCTTTACATCTTAATTCTTTCATTTTGGATTATATCCCTTTTTAATTTGTATTCTAATTTCAGTCTCTACTATCTTGTAAATTTTACGAGATTTGTAGGTTAGTTTTTCTTCCTTGTATGCATGATGACATTATACTGTTTTCTTTGTTTCCCCTAGTAGCAAACTAATAAGAAATTGATATGAGTAAATACACCAAAAAGTTCAATCTTGGGCTTATTTACAGTATTTTATCATTATGAACACCGTTCAACTCTTATCCCCATTTTTCCTCTCGCTTTAGGTCAGTACTCAGCAGTCAGTTACATGAATTCTTCTTATCTATTTTACACTGTCTAGGGCTGCATCTTTTGTTAATGCCTGGATCTTTATATCTATGTAGAGAATGGTTACAATAATTAGATTCATTCAGGTGAGTTCCAAGAGGAGGGCGGGCCTTGGCACAACAGTTGGGTTGCTCCGTTGCGACCTGGGTGACCAGGGTTCAAATCTTGGAAACAGCCTCTCTGTATGTGCAGGGGTTAGGCTGCATATATCTGTCCCTCATCAGACTCCGAATTGGCGGGAGCCCCATGCACTGGGCTACCCTTAGGTGAGTTCCAAGAGCTTCCAAACATTTTTCTGATTCTCTAGCTGAAAGCAAGGTTTGCAATGGAGTCTTGTATGGGGTAAACCTGTACCAGGGAGTGAGTTGTCGATATCTTATTATAGTCAAAAGTTGGGGCAATCAGCCTTTGGCTGTGTGTGTATTTGTACCTGCTAACTGCTTTCTTGATGCTAAGGAGACCTTCACTCCTGCAATAAAATTAAATTACGTTGTTGACTATAAAGAGTATCGGCAAAATATCATAGATACTAGAGAAAAAGATTCTTGGAAAATTTCATATTGCCCCTAGAAAAATGGAGAGATTCTGGAGAAATTTCACCAAACCTCATTGGTATTGTGAACCATGCCTGGAATTATTCCTAGACCTTTTCATGTCTAATATTCAGCATCTGATGTAGGGGCTACCAYTCCGATGCCAATTGATGTAAAATTTGAATGACCTGAGGATAAGCTTAGGAGAATAACAACTAGCTAGGAAACACTTAAGGATGATTTTAGGAATAAAGAGAAATATTGAGATGGGTTAGAAAAGTCATGGGTCAAATTATTGAGAACTACAGATTCTTAATGAGATAGTGGAAATAGAAAATTAAAAAAACTGAATAGGGATGGAATTCTTAATGAAACCCTGTAGACGTTTAGAATGATGGGTTGTACGGGATTTACTTGTTCAGCATCTGATGTAGGGGCTACCATTCCAATTGTGAACCATGCCTGGAATTATTCCTAGACCTTTTCATGTCTAATATTCAGCATCTGATGTAGGGGCTACCAYTCCGATGCCAATTGATGTAAAATTTGAATGACCTGAGGATAAGCTTAGGAGAATAACAATTAGCTAGGAAACACTTAAGGATGATTTTAGGAATAAAGAGAAATATTGAGATGGGTTAGAAAAGTCATGGGTCAAATTATTGAGAACTACAGATTCTTAATGAGATAGTGGAAATAGAAAATTAAAAAAAAACTGAATAGGGATGGAATTCTTAATGAAACCCTGTAGACGTTTAGAATGATGGGTTGTACGGGATTTACTTGTTCACAAAAGGATAGAAAATTCTTTAGTGAGAGAAATGACCAAAATTTTGGAAACTAGGTTTTCAGATGGAGTTTTGGGAAAAAATTTGGCATGATTAAAGGTGATACTGATGTTTGGGGGGGCATCCAAATATGACAGCAATTGGAGATGGCTTGGCACAAAAGGATGAAAATGATTGAAATGGTAAAATTTTGGGTTTCAATCTAAACTACAGAAGATAATATCTTGATTGGTTTCACTGATGCCGAATAGCTCCTTTGGTAAAGAATTTCTGGACTGTTGATGGATGTAATGGCTGCTTACAGAATTAGAGAGAAGATAAAGAGAAGAATAAAAGAGAGGAAATCCAAAGTACTCGATGGGTCCCCTCAAAACAAATGAAAAACGAAAATGAGATATGGATAAGGCATATAATAATTCAAACAGCTGAGGATAAAGTAGAATCATGCATGCAATAAGAAAACTATGCAAAAGTTGAAAGCTTTTAAGGAAAAAGATTTGAAAATTTTACTAAGATCTTGAGTGATGTACTCTTATTTCCTTTTGCCAAGTTAGAGGGAAAAGAATTGCTCTTGACTCTACAAAATAAGCAATGGAAAAAAGAGGGAAAATGCAAATAGTAGAAAAGGGGTAATTGGGAGGTTGGATGGGGGAAGTAGAATGATATATTCCCTGGTGTTTTTGCCATGCACATATGACGAAGTAAACACTGATAAAGAAAAATACTATGGTCACCCATTGCTTAAGTGAAGCTTATTTGGCAGTGAAAAGAGGAAAAACAATCATGAGGATTACAAAAAAAAAATCAAATACATGCAATACAAGTATGGAAGAGGGAGGAAGTGCATCTATGAATCATAATTAAATGACTAAGAGTTCTAGTACATTATAAAGATATTGACAGATATCAATGGCTGGTTCTCTGGCCAAGCAAGGGATGTCAAGGGGAGATCTGTTTTGGGTTACTTTGTAATTGTGTTTCAGGCTTGGGTATGTTTAGTGTATATGGTTCAGTCCTCGGGGGAGGTAACATCTCGTGCCTCCTCCTAGGCTGATTGTACTTTTGTTATTTGAATTAATAAAACTACTCTCATTTATCAAAAAAAAGTCAAGGAGAGCCTACAAGAACCAAAGCAACAACAGTTAGTGGGGAAACTAGAAGTGAGGAAGGTGGACACTGAACCATAGACTGTGCTCACAAGACTCTGCTCACACTGTTTGCACAGCTTTTTACAGCAGTGCATTGGGAATATCTCCATACTTATATGCTTTTCTTCATGGGGAGGTATCCCAATGCAAGGCTGCAAGGGACTGTGTGAACGGTGTGAGCACTGAAGCCAGTCTCCCTCCTTGGGCATTTCTTGATCGTCTGGAGAAAGAGAATGGTAGTAGAAACCATTAATAAATATTAGAAAAATTCTAATCTCTAAGTGCAATATTTTGTGCAATTGTTCTTTTATCGCCAGTTCTCTTGAGAATTTCTATTATATCTGAATGTATATTCTTTATGTAGTGAAGATTCTATTCCATAAAAATTTTGGTGGGTGAGGGCTCTATGAAATCTTGTTCAAGAATTAAGGTTAGATCTTATCCATTGCATCTTTAGATGGATCCCCAGAAGTTTAAATTTTCTGGCAGATGCATTAGCTAAAAATGGGGTGGGAAGGGATACATTGTATAGTGCAAATTCTTATCCTATATCCTATGTCTTGAGTGGGTTTAGGTTTTTCTGTTTGGAAAACCTGGTTGTACATCTCCTAATGTACATCCTTCCCTTTTCTTTTTGAATGAAAGTTATCTTAAAAAAAAGAATTAAGATTAGATCTTTCCACTGATCATTTTATATTTTCTTGTTTTTAGTTCTTTTTTTGCTTTAACTTTACTCTTTACTTTTGAATTATTTTGTTATTTATTGATTCCCTTAAAACTCAAATCTGCTCTAATTGTTCCCATATGTATATCCCAAAATTCATTCTTTATGCAAACCCCAGTACCCTTCTCAGTAGCCTGATCCAAATCCTAATTGCTTCTGTTTGTTTTCTCAATTCCTTTGGACATAATCTCTGGTTATTTGAACTGTATTTCTTTTCTTTCTCAAATTCTAGTTCTGGAAAAATTTATTTGGGTCTCATGATCATCCTATTTTGTCAAACATCTTAAATGCTCTAAAAATTTTGCAATTGTTCGCTAAATATGACTTCTTTCCATAATTTTGTTGTGTTCTGGATAATTTATTATGCATGGTATTCAGTTGACTAGTAACGAGTACTTAATTGTTCAAAGTTAAACCAAATTAAAGAAATACCTACTACAGATTTTTACAGAACTTTAGGTAGCAATTCTGTAAACTTTGCATTGATTGTACTGTCTCAGGTGGAGTAATTATGAACCCCTCTAATTTAGTCATGTATGTCAAACAGGAACCTCCAGTTTTTGGGAAGAGGACTATTTTTACAGCCCAACCATCTGGGTAAGGATTGTCAATATTTCCTGTACGAAAATGTCAGTTTTTTTTTGTGGATGTTATATGGTGGAATTTGCAAGCTTGGTTCTCCACAGTAATTAATAATCCCTTGACCCAATAAAGAAAGAGAAAAAGAATCAACTTATAAGTGTGTTGGAGTCAAAAAGATAAATCCATAAGTAGTTCTATAGATTGTATGTTTGGGATCATTTGGTTGGGACCTTTTTTTGGTGAGTTCTTGTTGATGATTCCATTGACTGACGTGCCTCCAATTTTATCTCCCTTTCACAGGTATGCACCGCATATAGTGCAAATGCTAGCTACATGATTTTTTTTTATTTATCCTTGTGCAAATTCATATTCAGGTTGCATGCTTAAAAGATTCTTAAATTTAATTCTGACCTTTTGCTCAGGACGTAATTAGATAATTTATTTCTCTGAAAAGCTGAACTGGACATTGGATGATCCACTGGCATTGAGGCTTCTCATTTCAGCAGTTTGATTTTGACCATCCTGGTTGCACTGTCCATGACTGTTAGGGGGTGTTCTTTTTTCGGATTTTGAGAGGGGGGAAAGTTGGTCAATGGGATTTTGGTTCCCATTGACCAAGAATCCCATAATCTTTTTCCAGATTTATGTGGGACCAGGGGAAGTTTATTTTCCTGGGTATCATTTAACCGGGTAAGTGATACCCATCTCCTAGGTGGGTAAATTACTTTTCCACCTAGGGGGAAAGTTGTCAACACTTGAATGGGACAAAAATGCCCTTTTTATAAATGGATTTTTATGGCTAAAATGGTCATTGCATATTTACATGAGAAATAAAAGAACATGGGTAAATGCAGTTACCCGGGTAAGTGTTTCCCAGGAAAAACTTACCCAGGTAATTGCATTTACCTGGGTAAGTAACTTACCAAAAAGCGAACGGGGCCTTAGCAAGAACTAACTAAAAAGAGAATATTAAAGGATACTAGGAAATAAAAAGGGAATATAAGTAATAAATGATAAAAAATTCTTATACATTTAAAATAATCTTTAGCTATAAAGGAGGGCTTTGTTCAAGAGTTGTCTCGGTTGATCAAAGACTATTACTGGAGCTTGTTCATAGTTCAAACTATTCAACTGCTTCTGATGTTTTATCTATCTGATGTTACATTTATTGAACTTGGTTTTCTAGGAAATTGGATCAATGGACTCAGTGTGACAACTGCTCTAAATGGCGAAGGTTGCCTGTGGATGCTCTTCTCCCTCCAAAGTGGACATGTGTGGATAATGTATGGGATACAGATAGGTCAGTATAGAATTCTTCCTGCAAAGGCGTTCTATGTGAAGAACCAATTTAAGTAAATCTATCTCCTGCATTTTATGACATGCCCACAGGTGTTCATGCTCTGCACCCAATGAGATGAGCCCAAAGGAACTGGAAAATCTCCTCAGACTGAATATGGGTATGGTGCAGTCTCCGTTTCTCCTTATTCTCATATTATCCAAAACTCTAGCAATAGTAATAATCCAACAAAAGATTTTTTTATAAGCCATATGGTAATAAATCTGAGCTGGTTTATCATTTGATAATATGCGTTTTAATTTTTATGGAGCTTAACTATATAAGATGATACTACGAAAGGAAAGAGGAAACTTCTAAAGCTGAGTTTAGATTGGAGAGGAATCAAAAATCTGTGGCAGAAAAGGAATGTGTGTGATCTGCTTCACTGCTCAACTCAGAAGAAAAAGAGCAAAGCGAGATGTGAAAAAAAAGTGGATTTTTATCTACATTTTGTCAGTTCGATGGAAAATGGAATAACCATGTGTGTGTGTTGGGGTGGGGGGTTGTAGTCATTCCCGGAATCCATAAAACAATGGACTTTGCACTGCTTTTCCATTTTCTCTGGGTAATCCAAAAAACAACTTAGGGTTATTTATTTTTTTAACACAGCAGAATCATTACAGGGTCCAGAAGTGTGTATATATCCACCCTCTATTCACTTGGCAAGTTTGAGCCCAGGATGATCCCTTAATTTATAGGATGTGGATAATGGTCTCAGTGTCTAATATACACAAATGCCATATAAATATGATTAAGACCTATAACTGATTGGGCCCTTTCTAAAAATATTGCTTAATGCCACAAAAGATTGCAAAGTGTGATTATTTTTATCTAGTCTTTAGAATATATTTGAAATTTGAGTTTAAATTAGTATTTTTGTTCTTTTTCCATTTTATCCTCACTATTCCAAGGATTACAGTGAAACGTCCATTCCATGTCTAGTCATCTTGATTCATAGGTTGTAATGCCAATTCTTCCTGAAGGAAAACATATGATTTCGTTTTCTCATACTATTTTCGACCGATTGGTTGGGCTACAAGCAAGAAAATGCATAAAAACCTTAACCTACGGCATTATTTCAATAAGAATTTGATTCTAACTTTTTCTCAGTGTTGTTGCAAGGAGTCTCCTAAATGGATGATGTGTCCATGCTGGACAGTTCAGAATCTGGCATTTGTTGGATTCTTGAGGACACTTTCTACATAATATTTCCTTTCCATCTCCTAGCATATCTGACATAATGAACAGCTGATGTACAAGCTGAATGCCATTTTTCATATAAAATGTTACTTGGTAACAAAAGCAACAATTTTAGAGATTTTTCACAGGTATATAACTTTTAAATATATATTACATTTCCTTAGACGCTTTTGCAACTCCGTATTTTTTTATCTTGCTGAGTCAGCATCCTGGACATGCTTCAGTTTCTGACTCCTGTGTCCATGTCCATGCAACACTGCCTTATCTCTGAACTTGTCATGAATTGAAAATTTTGACATACAAAAAAAAGCCATTACCAATTATTGGTCCAAGATATAATGGGGTCTTGGGAGGGGTGGACTGGAAATAGACCTAAACTTTGCCCTTTTTTTTCACACAAGTTTGCTGCTCTCTGAATTGAACCTGCTTTCTCACACTTGTCAATCCAAGATCTTACCATCACACCAAGCAATGGCCCCTTAAATTTTGCACCTGTAACAGCGAACATATTTTCTTCATACTGTTCCATTTGATACTTAATATCTGCACTAAATATGTTCTATTTTTCTGTTCTCTATATTCTTTCGCTATTTACCTTTTTCTTTAGTGTCCAACCAAACATTTTATGATCCAAGGATTAGAAATTTTTATTGATGACACATGAACAATCCTTGTCTCTGCATTACACAGGAAATTTGTATGATTGAGGTGGTTTTTATTACTGTGCTATTTTTGTGTTTCATCTGGTTCCAGAACACACCACAGACGACAGTGTCTAGGCGTTCTTTTCAGCCGTTCTTATTCTAGAATTAGCAATATATTCTTCGACCATTCCATAAAAAGTATTAAGTTTGTGAACATGTCAGTTTCTCATGTTCCCAACTGCACCACTGTTCTGGCTTTATTCAGCTTTGATTCAATGTTGGTGCGATGAGTTCCAGAACCGGGAAAACTTTAGCTGTTCTGTTGGGAGATGACAGCCTGGGCTACATGAAAACACACCATGGTGGGGTCCGTCCAATGGTTGGAAGCATGCTAAACTATTCAAGACCACAGTATAGATTATAGAATACCTTTTTAATGCATATATACATTCATATGTATACATAAATGTAAAAAAGGATGGAGAGCCCTTGTAGGAAAAGATTTTCCTTAAAAGCTTGTGATGACTTCTGTCTAATTATGAACAGATTTGAAAAAAAGGAGAATTTTGGCAAGCCAAAAACCATCCCAGGAGCGTGAACCTTCAGGCTTAGACGCATTAGCCACTGCAGCAGTCCTTGGAGACAATGGGGGGGACTCAGGGCCGCCATCAGTTGCAACCACTACCAAACACCCCCGGCATCGTCCTGGCTGCACATGCATTGTGTGCATCCAGCCCCCCAGTGGGAAAGGCCCAAAGCACAAGCCTACATGCACTTGCAATGTGTGCATGACTGTGAAGCGCCGCTTCAAAACACTCATGATGCGCAAGAAGAAACGCCAATCTGAGCGTGAAGCAGAAATTGCCCAGAGAAAGCAGCATATTTGGGGTCCCAAAGATGAAACTGAAGTAGAGAACACATCCAAAGGTGTACTACTGCAATTAGATGCTACAGACAGTGAGAACAGGCAAGCAAACGAGTCAGGATCCGTTGGAGGCCAAACCAGAATCTTGATGGAGAAGGCTGGTGAGAACAGCAAGGCACAAATAGACTTAAACTGTCAACCGGACCGTGAAGAAGAACAGCAAGCTGGGTCAACACGTGTGAGCATGATGAGTCTTCTTCAAGTGGCGAGTCTCCCATTGGAGACGTATTTGAAACAGAATGGGCTCACAAGTTTGGTGAGCGAGCAACAAGCAAGCTCAAGCTCTCATGTCGTGCCGCAGGCCACTGGGGGTGGGGAGAGTGAGGGACAGCGACCTGAGGAGGGTTGCTTTGCCTCTGGAGTACGAGAGAGCGGTGGTGATGAAGAATGTATTGAGCCTGATCAAGCCAAAAGTGATGCTGTTGCATGAAGGATTTTTTCCCCCCGTGCTTTCTGCACCTGGGCTTAGAAAATATAGAAATTAAATTTGTTTTTTTTTCTTTTATAGGGGTTGTATTTAATTCTGCAGCCAAATAGGAGAATACCAATATGCAATATTATATTACTTTGTTTTCCTTTTTTTTTTTTGTTGGTTCCTCCCTTCTAATTTCTAAGTGTAAATTAATTACTTGTTACATGTTTTGCTGTGAATGGATGAATACAAAGGGTGAACATTGGGGAGAGCGAGGTGGTGTTTGAAGACGTTTTGTCCTCTTTGTTTTTTCACTTTGCCTAATTGCCTTGGGAAATGAACAATTGGTATCCGAAGATTCTGAACTACAAGATCTTTGTTTTTATTTACAGCCAATCGAAAAGTGAAGGAAAAGAAAAGATTCTTTATTTTTGGCCAAAAAGAAAAGAAATTTTAAAAAATAGGATATATGTATAAAAAAAATGAAATTCTCTCTGTACGTCTTTCTGAGCGAACCAATCAAAATATAGAGCGAGGAAACTCAGCAATGGTGCTTATGCTGCAGCAACCAAGATTTAAGGAGCTGTACTTGTGCGGTCTCGCCAAAGCACTTCGCCCTAACCAGACAGAAGTGAGTGCAGAACCCCACTGACGACGATGACAGCACTCGGCATGTCTTGAGGATGTAACACGCCGGAGTGCAATCCTTGCCCCTACCTTGAATGAGGATTCCCCATGTTTTTGTGCTTGTGTTGCCGCTGTCTTCTTCTTCATTGTTATCGTCGAGTTGTTTCACCAGTATGATCCCATCAGGGGCCGAGCAGCTTTCTCCTCCACCGTTGGCCCATCTCTTCTTAATGAGGGGCCACATATCAGCGGCTGCCTTGACTCTCTCCAGCCTGGTGGTCAATACTCTTCCCTTGTTAGAGCAGAAGACATGAACCAGGAAAGGACCCTGGTCTATATTCCTAACGATCTCCTGAGCGGAATCTCTCATCCATTGATCGAGCATCTCTGATGGGATGTCATCCTTTGCAGAGGCCGTGTCTTCCGTGCAGAAACCGAGATTCAGATAGACCTCTGGATGTGGACGACTAGGACGACGATCGGTTTCATTCCCTACTTCTACTTGTTGGCTATCATCATCCCCGCGGTTGCTAGGATTCGGCATCAAACAAACTCGCGGGATGATTTGCTGCTTGGGACGATAATGGTAATGTAGATTGCTAGAATTAACGGACCAACCCAAATTGCTAACAGGATGTTGTTGATGCTTAGTGTTGGCACTCGAGAACGAAGGCAATAATGCATTATTTCCAACGCAAAGCAGACGCAGGCGCCCCAACATCGCCATACTTTTTCTCGTCCTCTTCTATTCTGCACCGATACAACCACAAGAACCGTAAGACTTTTGAGTGACGGAGGAGGATGTTAACGCAATGCAATAGAGACCGATAAATACAGAAGGGAAGATTGAGATGTAGGTTTTGAATCCTAATCCTAATGGCACTAGGACTSTGGAAAAAAGAAGGAAAAGGAAAGTTCCCTCGTCGCTCCCCAGTCCCCAGACTCCCCACCTCTCTCTCTTTCTCTCCCTCCCCCACCTTCTCTCTCTCTCTGTGAAGTATAAGTCCGAAAGGAATATAATCGGAGGAAAATACCTCCTGTCTTCAGGATTCATGTCTGGAATCTATGGATGAAGGGAAATCTTGTGGTATGTACAATTTGCTTTACTAGAGGGGACCCGTGCAGTGTACGAATTTTGTTGAGTAAAAGCGAAATAATGGAAATATATAATAGTAAATATATTTTTACTATTTTCCATTAACATTATGAATTAATATCATCATAGGCAATGATTAATGTTTAAATTATATAATTTATACAAAAAAAAATGCATTTTAAATACACTATGAACTAATTACATTTATTTCTTGAAGATTATTGATAATTGGTATATATTTTCAAAAGTAATTTTAATGGTTATATATATTTTTTTTTGGTAATTTATCATATTTAGTGGAAATCATGTTGATCCATTTTTGGTAATTATAACAAAATTATCGGTACTTTATTTTTTGTTATTTTCTTGGCTAATTTCTGCTCATTAAATGTAATTTTCTGCTATTTATAACTTAAATTGTATTATATAATAAACAATTTAAATATAATTACTTTTAATTACAATTTAAAATTTAATTATATTACTTACATTTTCAAATATAATTTAAATAATATTTAAAATGCAATTTAAATTATAAATTACATTAATTAACAATTTAAAAAACTGTTAATTAATGAATTAGTAAAAATACTAATATTTTTTTTGTCATAATTACCAAAAATGGATTACATGATTTCCAATAAATATGATAAATTACCAAAAATTAAAAAATATAACCCTTAAAACTACTTTTTGAGAGAAGCTATTTATCTATTTTCTCAATTTTTTTCATTGTTCCTATTTTCTTTTGTTTTAAAAATAAATAAATAAAAAGTAATCATTGCTTATTTTGATTAAGTTAATAGAGAGACCTTTGGGTTTTCCAAGGCCTCTTATTTTAGTGCATGTTATTATTGCATTTAAAATAGACATTTAAGAGAGAGAGAGAGAGAGTAGTAATAATAATAACTACTGTATTTTAAAATTTACAATATTTTAATAACTAACAGTATTTTTAATAATTATAGTTTTTTTAAATAATTATCAATATTTATTCAAAAACAGTATTAAATAATGCATTTATTAATTAATATAATGTAAGTTATAATTTATTAAATCTACTTTTAATTAATACAATATTTTTAAAAGTTATAGTATTAATAATTAACCATATTTTACAGTATTTTCAATTATTGTAGTATTATTAATTATTGTATTTATTAAAATACTATATTATTGGTACTTTATTTTTGGTTATTTTCTTGGGTAATTTTTGCTCATTAAATGTAATTTTTTGATATTTTAAATATAATTACTTTTAATTACAGTTTAAAATTTAATTATATTACTTACAACTTCAAATATAATTTAAATAATATTTAAAATACAATTTAAATTATAACTTACATTAATTAACAATTTAAAAAATTGTTAGTTAATGAATTAATAAAAAATATTAATATTTTTTAATAAACATAGTATTTTAGTAAACACTGTTAATTAATAAATAGTGTAATTAATAATACCGTAATTATTGAAAATACTATAAAATACAGTTAATTATTGTTGATGCTTAGGATGGCCAAGGACAACAGAGTAATTTTGCCCCTAGACTCCGAAGGCTGGCCGAAGGCTTCAAGGGTTCGGGGAGCTTGTTGCCAAGGCCGAGGTACATAGGCTAAGGCAGAGAGGGCTCCGAATACTATAGAAGCCGAGGGCAGGCGGCCGAGGTGCTACAAGGTAGAATATGTCAAAGGCCCCGGGTGAGAACCTGAGGTAGAGTCTCCGATGGTCAAGTTAGTACGGGGTACGAAGAGGGGGATTAGAATATAACTTTTGGGATCAGTTCCAAGTCCAGATGCAGATTGTATTCGACCCCCCTTACCTGGAGGGGGGGCACCCCTATTTATACTTGAGCCGCCTGGAGATAGGTGGAGATGAACGCCTGGGATGGGTGTCATATGAGGGCAGTCAGAGAGCTCTGTGGGGACGCATGGGCACTCTGTGATTGGCTCCGTACGAGGGGACCAAAGTAACTTCTGTTGTAGCGGATCTCATTCCCAAATCTGGCGCTCGTGGGCTGGGCCTCCCAGCCTCGAATGGCCTGGGTTGGGTTACCCCACATCATTTGCCCCCCACTCCCGAGGCCGAGGAGAAAAATTCAGCTTCGGCTGATGGGAGTAATAATGGTGAGCGCCAATGGGCCTGACAACCGAGGTGTACCCTGCAGTGGTGTCCTCTTTCATAAGTTGGGCCGAGGCTGCGAGTGGTCTACAACACTACTACTTCGGACAAGTGACCCGAGGGGGCGCACTCAGTGCGGACGCTCTGGTGCCGCCATTTGGGCTGAGGACCTATGAAGTCGAAGGCTATTTAAGTCGAGGGCCTATGAGGCCCGAAAGTCCGTGCGCGAGACGGCTTTCCAGTCAGACCGGTGCAAGCATTCGCGTGGCCGGGTCACATAAACCGGTGGTTCACAGTGGACGGACACATCGATTCACCTTGAGCATCATTTCGCCTTACGAGGGCGAGCGTCGTTTCACCTTCCGAGGACGGGTGTTCGAGGGTACGGCGTGGCTGGATCGCAAGGAGGCATTTTGCGTCAGTTGGATCAGGGACGATCTGTGTCGTCGCTAGCGCATCGTTTTGCCTTCAAAGGGTGAGCGTTACGCGACGTGCCATGATCAGACTGTGGAGGCGGTGGCTTCTCAGCCGTTGGATCTTAAGAAATTTGGGTCGTTCATTCCTCTTTAAATAGGTGCTTCGATAGCAGACTTCTTGTCATTTTGCCTCCAAGTGCTTTCGCCTTCGAGTGAACTCAACTCCCAGATTCTCCAGTCTTCAACACTCTGCCTTCACTTCTTTTCCTTTCACTCCCCCTTTTTAGGTAATCTCCAACGATGTCTTTATCAAATTCTGGACTTGAGTGCTATGAACTTCCAAATGTATCAGAGGGGAGCTCCATTCGAACCCCTTCTCCTCTTTCCCTTTTAAGCCCTTCTATTTCCATTCCCCTTTGGTACGAGGTGGAGGTGCTTCGAGAGAGAGTAACCTCCGGGGGAGCCGAAGGCATCCGCTGAGGCAATGACCCTCCCTGTGAGAGCACTGCATCTGTGACGCCAAGGGAGACCGAGGGGGAGCAAAAGCTGGACCTCGTCCCCAGGACGAGGGTTGAGAGTGTTGTCGGGGTAGTGGCCGAGGCTGATCCTTCTCGCCTAGAGTTCAAAGGTTCTCTAGAGTGGGATCAGGTCAAGGCCCTGACGAGGCAATACTTCATCCCTTCATCCTATGGGGTGAGGGCGCCCTAGGCGGGTGATCGGTCGTGGACTCACAAGGAGGGGGAGATCTACATTTATCAGCACTTCCTCTAATTCAATCTTTGGTTCCCCCTTAATCCGTTGATCTCTGACCTGCTAAGGGTGTATGGGATTTCCCTTAGCCAACTGGTGCCCAATGCGATAGGAACCATTGTGGCAATGCTGGTGGCGGCTTGGCTCCAGGGCGTGTTGCTGACGCCGAAGCTCTTTCGAGCGATCTTCATGTTGAGGAAGCACTCTTCCGAACCTGGTGTCTTCTACTTCCAACCCCGCAAGTCCAAGCCCATAGATAACACCTCTTCCATGCACAATTGGAAGAGTAAATATTTCTTTTTGTCTTGTCCCGAGGGTTGGTCCTTAAAGCCGGGGTGGGGAGAGGCCAATTTGTCTGCGGAGAAAAGTGTCCCCTTGCTTACGAGTGAGGAAAGTAACGATCTCGTGCGGCTGCTCAACCTGGGGAGAGTCTGAGCCTAGCCTTTGGTGGAGGAGGAAATCCCATTGGTTTTCGCGAGACTCAGTTTTGCCCCCCTCGGTAGGATAGGACATGCAACTTCTTTCCACGTTTTCCTCACCTTCATCTTTGTGTAATGGTACAAACTATTGTTTTGCTTGCAAAAGTGCCGATGGATGCTTGGAAAGTCATACTGGACCATGCCCGCGTGATACAGAAGGAGCGGGCGAAGGCTGGCGAATAGACGCCTCAGAGGCCCACTGGGGACGCGCCAGCCCAGAAGGAGAAGGCATCGGCCCCTACGAAGGGGGGTCTTCTCGCCAGGTCCCTGGCAAGGGGACGAGAGCGCAGATCCCTGCCAAAGGGACTTCTTCAACAACTCCCACGAAGGGAGCCACTCCACAGATCCCCATGAAGGGGAAGAGGCCCGTTGAGGAGGGTCAGCCAGGGCGCGAGGAGCAAGCCCTGCAGCATCCGACCGAGGTGCCAAGAGGACACGCCGATGGAGTCGAGGCAGGGAGGAAGAGGCCGGCTGAGGGGGCCGTGGGGGATCAACCGTAGCAGAAGGTGGTCTACACCAGGGGTTCTGTCGATGACGCCCCGAAGGGGCCGCACAAGGAGCAAATGGAGTCGTTTTCTGCTCCCACACCATTAGAGGAGCTCGCCCAGCGGTCTAACCAAGTCTTCCGCCCTGAGTGGGAGATCCACGAGGGGGACTCTATCCGCAACGCAGGAGTTGGCCCGGTGTTGGTAAGTGGGGCTCTCTTGGCACGGGACCGCTTCCAGATGCTGGAGATGGCCCCGAACAGGTTGTACAAGGAGGGGCTGCAGAGCCTGGCCGAGGTAACAACTTGCTCCCCTTTCCTTTCCTTCTTTTCTTCGTTTATCTGTTGGGTGCTAATTGTTTTCTCGTTGTAGGTCTGTCTTCACTTTGTTGGGCTAGGGGATCGGATGAAATTGACCCTAGACAACATGGACAAGTTGGAGGCTGAGAAAGACAAGCTTCAACAAGTCGCCACCACCACCATGGAGAAGCGCCACAAGTTCCAGCGATACTTCGACGACGAACAAAAGCTTTGCATGGAGGCCAAGGAGAAGCTGAAGAAGATGTAGGATCTCCTTTCCCAAGAGCAAATGGAGAGGACTCGTGC